CCTCTCCTACACCTCAAAAAGGAGCAGGGTGGCACTGGGAGAGGGCAGGGTTGTCTGAAGTGCTGGCATCTGCAGCAGTTTCTCACCATCCCTTTGGACTGTGGCCAGTTGTGAAGTTGCTGCTTTTGAGCATGGAGAAGGCGGAGGTAATCATCTCCCACGTGTTAATCCGTGCTGGCGGGGCCCACAGGTACCTGCCTAAACCCTCGACGAGTAATTGGAGCTAATTGGGCTGGAAGAGTTTTTGGTTAGTATCTGTCCAGGCAGTGCCCGGGGGCCCCATGGAAACGAGCCCTGTGCAAACCAGAACCACCTTCCCCCCCGGAGCTCTGCCAGGCCACAGCAGGGCGAGCTGGGTTTTCCTTTCCCTTGCCTAGACCCGGCATCCTCAGTCAGCTGCCCGCTCATGTGGCCTTGCTTGTGTTTTGCAGTGACTAAGCGGAGGAAGCTCTTGCTGTCCTTGCACCACCAGGCCAGACAATCCTTCCCTTGGCTGCAGATCCCGTTGGATCTCTTCCCATAATGGAAGCGTGAGTGCCAAGATCCTCCATGACCTCCAGAAGCCACAACTCCTTACCGAGAACTCTGATGGCTCCACGAATGCTTTCTGAAGGTGCCCTGGGGGGCATTGCCCAAATCACCCCCTCGCTGTACCTGAGCCGGGGCAGCGTCGCTTCCAACCGGCACCTGCTCCTCTCCCGGGGAATCACCTGCATTATCAATGCCACCATCGAGATTCCCAATTTCAACTGGCCCCAGTTTGAATACGTGAAAGTGCCTTTGGCTGACATGCCCAACGCTCCCATCTCCCTGTACTTCGACAGCGTCGCCGACAAGATCAACAGCGTGGCGCGGAAGCACGGTGCCACCTTAGTGCACTGCGCCGCCGGCGTGAGCAGGTCGGCCACCCTCTGCATCGCCTACCTGATGAAGTACCACAAGGTGTCCCTCTTTGAGGCCTACAACTGGGTCAAATCGAGACGCCCCGTTATACGCCCCAACGTGGGCTTCTGGAGGCAACTGATAGACTACGAGAGGAAGCTCTTTGGGAAGACGACGGTTAAAATGGTACAGACACCCTATGGCATCATCCCAGACGTTTATGAGAGAGAGAGGAGACCCCTGATGCCTTACTGGGGGATTTAATGGGACTGCAGATGGGGAGCACAACAGAAGGGATGCGCTGTTCTGAGTCAACCAGACTGGGGACATTCCCTTCTCCTTCTACAGCCAACTTTGGTTCTTTACCATACAGCAGAACCTCAACTAATTCTCACCTCACTAACCTGCAAAGCCAACGACCCCCTTCAAAGCATTTCTCTCTACAGGGATTCCCCTCCCCCCCCGCATTTCTCTGATTTAGAATGAGGCCTCCTTATAAGTTTATTCCTTCCATAAAGCCTCCCCCCACTTTTTAGTCAGTTTATTAGGATCCTAGGAGGAAAGGCCTGAAAGGCATTTGGCAGAGTTGATGAACAGAGCGTGCTTTGTGATGTGGTAGCCTGGATATTTCGTTAATAGCTTATTTGCTTCCTTGCAGATCCCTATAGAGGCTTGGGAGCAGCACTAGCATGGGAGGAGCGAGGTCCTGCTCTGGTGGTGGGTTCTTCCAAGAGGCAGGCAGGTGTTGTGGTGCTAGTGCTGCTGTTTTCTTTACCACCCGTAGTGACTCTCAGTATATAGTGTTTGAGATCCTTAGTCAGCTCTTAATCTGTATTAAAAGTAAAAAAACCAAAAAACCAATAAAAATACAAGAAGAGTGAAGTCAGCCCTTGTCAGCCACAAGTCAAATAAAACTTCAACAATCCAGAGCAAATAAAGAGCAGATCCTTTTTCACTCCTTCCATGCCAGGGCAATAGTCCTGGGATACACTACTGAAAGATGCTGGTGTTCCTTGTGGGTGGGAAGCAAGCAGAGATCTGGTCCAGACGTGGCTCAAGACAGAGCGAGAGGTTGACCCTGCCCACACTGGACAGCCAGAGAGATGGTTAGGGGACTCTGATTGCGTGGCCACCTTCCGAAGGGGCTGGGCCGTGTCATCCATCATCAACCACCCAGGAGACTGAAGTAGGTAAATCCTCTTGATTACTGAGCACTAAGCACGGTCGTGACCTGCCTTAGCCCATTTCTACATCACCATGTCCTCAAGGTTATGCTGCATTCTGGAGTTGCTCTGCGCAGAACGGTGACCTGCTCACCCTCCCGGGCAAGGATGGCTTCATGGAGAAGGCTTTGCCTTGTTCTGTGTGCGAGGAGAATGATTCCAGCCCCAGTGTGGGAGAAGCCTCCCCATGGCAGAGCCGCTGCCTCCCGGATGGTTTCGCTGAAGCACTGACAGGACTATGGGGAGAGCAAGGCAAGTCCGTTCCTCGCCGAGACACTCGTGTCCTCTGTTGCATCTCTGAAGGAGGAATAAGCAGATTGCTGGATGCTGAGGTAGCTGATCTAAATGAGATTCTATACTTGTAAAAAAACAAAAATCAATAAAGATTAAAGAAGAACATGTGTTGGTTTCCTCTTCAGAACCGCGCTAATGCACCTCAAGTAACAGTGAGAACATGGTGTAACACTGAGCAGGGGCTTTAAACAAACCTGGACCTCAGTCTTGAGGAAGATGCTGTGGTCTGTTCCTGTCACTTGGCTGATCACTTTACAATCCGTACAGGTGTCCTGCAATTCCTGATCCTCGTCACAAACCCCAGGGAACTAATTTGGCTACATCCAAAGTTTTACCTTATTTAGCCCCAGCTGAAGCTGAGGTTTGTAAGGAACAGCAGCTGTGGTTACAGGTTTGTTCCACACTGAACAGTCTTGGACTCAATGATCTTAATGGTCTTTCCCAAGATAGAAGTCTGGAACAGAGTGAATTGGATGCAGAGGCTTTGACCAGAAGTGTCATATTCACTGTACAGACCAGACTGGCCAGTGCTGCTTCCTTGCACTCCCCAGGGAAGGACACGGTGCTCCACGAGTTCCATGCTCATCAGAGGTCCAGCGAGGATGGCTGTGCAGGTTCACAGCTTTACACTGGGCCCAGGGCCACTTACCAGGGGGTTTGGTGGCACAAGAGTGCTCCCAGCCCCTGTGGGCACAGCTTCAACACTGCATTAATGCCAGTCCTGCACGTGGAGACACCGCTGTGAAGCGAGTTACTGCAAACTCCTCACTGCTGCAAGGGCTCCAGGGCCAAAAAGTCTTAGATATTTCCCCATTCCCCCTCCAAACCCTTCTCTTAAGCCATTATCCA